AAAAATATAAGGTGCCGTTTAAAAGAATCAAGGTGACCATGACAGCAAAACCCGAGCGTTAGCAATCTCTCTGCTCATCTCTGCTTACGCGCAATTCGAAGTCACGATAAATCTGATGAGCATTAACCGAAAACGGATACAGGCAAAAATAATTAAAAGGACGACTAACCAATGAACGGTCCCAAAATGTATCCAATCACCGTCGAATACGTGAAAAAGATGAAGGTACAGATGAAAAGTATAGAAGTCTGCTTGCAAGCCGTCAACAGACTCCTCTCGTGATCGTTGTATTTCGAGTCTAAGAAATTCTTTTGCAAATACAGGATCAAGTGAAAGAAATCCTTTCTGTGTGGAAGTATAGCAGTGAGCTTGAAGAAACTGGTGAACGACGATACAAAAGTGATCAAGCAGTAGAGCCATGTCTATAAATAAATTCCATAATGTTTATAAATAAAATTGATACTGTCCATAAATAAATTCATAAATGATTGTCAATAAATACAATGAATCACTTGCGTACAATGATACGATACATGCAATAGATAAGTGGATGGATTTTAATTGGATCTGAAAAATCTCGATGAATACTCACAGTGAGGTCTGTAAAGTGAAACAAAATTTCGTACATTGCACCGATTACGATAAGACATATCTGAACATAGGAGATAAACAACAAGAAATAGTAGAACGTTTCCTGATCGCGTCCGCTCGGCATCCAGAAGCCGAAGTGCCTCAGAAATGGGATCATCAAGTTTATGGAGAAATCGTTGGATTTTTGCATCGTGTTTAATTATACCGAAAAAATTCGCTGACAATCTAAGCGCAAAGTGTCCAACTGATTTGATTCTTTTTTCGCTGGCGACTGTCCCCCACCCTTCGTCGCATCGCTAGCAGTAATAAAACCGAGCATGCTAACTGCCGAGTACAAATATAAGAAAGTGGGGATGGCAACATATGTGCCATTTTCCAAGGTTCGATTACGATGAACAAGCGCTGTGCGCTCTGATGTGCAATTACTGGTCTCACTCCGAGAACTGAAAACTTGTAGCTCATTCGTAATTCTGTAAGCTATTGTCACATTCTTCGCAATCCTTGACCTTAATTGGCATCTGTTAACCCCTTAACGCACAGTTCTTTTGAAAAAAAAATGGCCAAAAAATATCAATTTTTTCCTGATTCAACTTCTCTTTCGGCGGAGAATTTTGATATGCTGCGCTTTTGTTCCATGGAAAAAAGGCTATATTTTATTCTTGAATAAATAAGTGTTATAACTTACACATGTAAATGATAAATATCGATAGAACGGTTTTTTTTCTTTGCTTTCACATTGTTATTTTAAATTCTCGATTATATTCGAGTGTGAAAAATTATAGCAGCATAAAATACAACGCCGCTCGAATTATCTCGAGTGTGCACAGTTTGTTTGGCTTGTTTGGCTCGCTCGAATTAACTCGAGCGTACAAGTTAAGGGGTTAATCGTGGGCGGTGCCTGCGTGCTCGTATCGTAAATTGGAGGAGTTAGATTAGTATATTAAACAATACTTTTAGATATTTTAACCCTTTGCACTCGCCACTTGTATCGTAAATTGGAGAAGTTAGATTATTATATTAAACAATACTTTTATATATTTTAACGCTTTGCACTCGCCACTTGTATCGTAAATTGGAGAAGTTAGATTATTATATTAAACAATACTTTTATATATTTTAACGCTTTGCACTCGCCACTTGTATCGTAAATTGGAGAAGTTAGATTATTATATTAAACAATACTTTTATATATTTTAACGCTTTGCACTCGCCACTTGTATCGTAAATTGGAGAAGTTAAATTATTATATTAAACAATACTTTTATATATTTTAACGCTTTGCACTCGCCACTTGTATCGTAAATTGGAGAAGTTAAATTATTATATTAAACAATACTTTTATATATTTTAACGCTTTGCACTCGAGCGGTGACTCTGCCGCGCCACTGAAATTGTATTATCACGTTCAAAGATAATTTTTATACTAACAAAGTTTAGATTTAAACAATTGTTAAAAGCGTAACTGTTGTACGAGTCATTACAAGACTCAAATCCCATATGCGTAAAATGCACTTTTATGCGCGTTTGTTCTTAGTGTCGTTTCTTCTTCGCAGATGCAAATATTTAATTTCATTCAGCACTGCACATACGCTTGCAGCACATAGATACGAACTGTTGTATGATCAACAAGGATATTGTACTGAAATACTGAAGATTTAACGCACCGTGCCGCGATGGAACAGGGCTCGGCTAGATACAACACTTGGAAATATCGAAATGGAATTACGGTAGCCGAAAACATATCTTTGCTAAAATATAGCAGCGCTTAAGTAAATTGGACGTTCCAGTGTAGCATAGTATTTTCTCAAGAATTTCTATGGGAACGTATCGGTTTCGTTCGATCTTCAGTCTTTGATCTTTGATTTGGTGTTTGAATAAATAACGCGACGCACGTCGGACCCCAATTGATACTCCTCAAAATGATATGCGGAGACTCTGAATTATTCAGGGGACAATCGAAAAAAAGAACCGATGTTTTTCGATGATGAAAGACCATTCGCGAACTACTTTTCTTTGGAACAGCGTGATAGTCTGTGGTAAACTGTCGGAGAAATAACAGGAAAGCAGTGAATATTTGCGAATACATCGAACTTTTTACAGAAAATATCCTGCGATATCTTGGACGGTTGGGAAAAAAATTCGCCAGAGGAAAAAGGGGTACTGTATCTTTTCAATATTATACTATTTTACTTAAAAGCACACTTAAGATTTCCACAAATAATTTATTTGTATATATACACTATTTATTACATTATTACACTATTTATTATGTATTAACATATACATAACATATACATGTACTATTTATTATTATATTTTTTTTATATATATCATTTACTTAAGAGTACACTTAAGATTTCCACAAATAATTTATTTGTATATATACACTATTTATTACACTATTACACTATTTATTATGTATTAACATATACATAACATATACGTGTACTATTTATTATTATATTTTATTACACTATTTATTTATTTATTTACACTATTTATTTACACTATTTATTCAGTGTATATATGAAATAAATAGGTATATTTTAAAAACTGTGACAAACAAGATACTGATAACGAACGATAAGATTTCAATGACGGTCGACGAGATTCTAATGCGGACTTTTTTCATCGATAAAACGTGCAGGTGAAAAACCCCTCCACCAAAATTTACTAAAATAGTGGGCTTCTGGCCCCACCAATCAGAAACACCCTATTGGGGCCGAGACAATAGGGGTGGCTCGACAGTCTGACGCCAAGAACGGTGACGCCGCGAACAATGATACCCGTTATACTCCATGGAGACTATGGGAAACAAACTGTGGAGCCTCCTTGGCGCCTTATATGGGCCTGGGCCACGTCAAGTGCCATTAAGAGCGGTTAAGAACGGTACGACTACGCAGCTTTCCCAGAAATACCAGCCGATACCCTTCGGCCGAACCCGAGTCCAATAAATTAATCTCTTTGACTAATAAATTAGTCAAAGGGACACCAAAAGGACTGTCAAAACTGTCATCGTCTAAATCAACCGCAGCCTAAACCAACACAATAAAATAAACAATGTGACAAAATACGTGTTGCCTGGATAACTTTTAACGGAAAGGCAAAGGCGACGATCAGCCTGTTAGTCGAGGACGACCTCAAGGCCGAGATAAAAGTGTTGGCCAATAGTTGCATCTTTTTATTGGCTTATATGAAGGAAATGAATAAAAATAAAAAAGTGCCAACAGCACGTGGTGTTCCCAAGCGGTCACCCATCCAAGTACTGACCACGCTCAACGCTGTTTAACTTCGATGATCGGACGAGAATCGGTTCTTTGCAACGTGATATGGCCGTTGACGAGTTCTAAAAAAGTAACAATACAATTTCTTATCAATTCTAGTGCATATCCCACGCTGCAAATCTAAATAACCGTGAACAATAATGCTGACAAAGTTAAAAAAAGAACATACTTCAAACTAGATCTGAATCACACTATCCATTAAAATGTTTCTATCTTCCCTATCATTTTCCTTTCCTAAAATATTAAAATATGAAGTAAACAGAGCACTTTTCAGTATATAATTTAGAAGTTTTCTTCCTACATCCGATTTTTGCCTAGATTTTTTCTCGGGATAACGTCTAGATCCGCTTTTATTGCACAACCGACCTGCCCTCTTTTAAAAAGAGCTAGCACTATAAAGTCTGGCCTCTGGATTTGGCATGAATAAGGCGTTGGTGCCAAATCCATGCGTTATGCGTAAGCAAATGACTCCATATTTGACACGAATGCTTACTGTCAAATTCATTACAAATTCAGGACATATTGGGTAGCAACGAAGAGGTTAAATACGGACGTACGTCGAACTAATTTAAGTGGGAAAAATGGCTAGTTTATTAAACAAACTATTTATTTGAATACAAAAGTATAATACTTTAGTTCTAACAGTCTACATCTTTGAATATCTTTATGTAGTTATTTTACATAGATAGACGTTAATATATGCTGTAACAAATGTTGTAGATATAGCAACATGTGAAGTTATGGAAATTTCAAATGGAGTATTTTCGATACACCCTGTGTAGCATTTACACATTCCATTGGGATTGTGGGCGTTTCTCAATCCAGCTCTTAATTGATGGCACATTGAGGACCTTCTCGTTTAGCTGTTTCAAATTTTCATAGTTCTCGATAATGTCGGACTTCATCATGAAGTTCAAGTATTCAAGAAGACCAGTTCTGATGCAAATCCCGCGCTGTAAATCTAAATAACCATGAACAATCAAGCTGAAACCTGCCGGGTCCTATCTGCAGTCAGGTTACCGAGCAGGTAACGCCGCGATCAATTTATTGGGCCCAATAAAAGCCCTACCACTTGTGTTCTTGGAACATCTGGAAACACTTTCACCCTCAATTTGCACTTCAATCATATCAGGATTTGTTCTACAACTATAGTAGTAAATATCTCTTAAAGGAAACATTTGCTTGTATACGTACAGAGGATAAATTTGTTTGCTTTAGGATCCTTTTATACCTAAAGTTTGGCGATGTAACCCGCAAGCACCCTGTATATTGTAATTGATGCTTCTTAAAATTAAGATAAACATAGAGTTAAAAATAGAATAGATTCTAGCTTTGTAAGTTAACATTAAATTAACATTAACATTAACATAAATATTTGTGTTAACAGAATGTAATGTAAGGAAACTTTACATACATAGTCAGTCAGGCAAGGCTGCTGTAAAATAGATCAAATAGATGTAAAACGCTTAGTCGAGTACTTTGCGAGGAAATTTATGTGAATTTGATGACAAGGATCTGTTGAAAGAGGACTCTGCTCGGTATCAGACGCTTGGCGTTACCAGAGGCAAATCTTCGCGGCACTTTGTAACGAAATGTATTGTTTAAAGAGGGCAGATCGGTCGCACTCATGTGGCAAATATGGCAGCGTTACAACATTTGGCCTGAACAAGGCGATATGCAGGAAGAGACGGTTCTGCATTTGGCACAAATGCGTACTGTCAAATTCAGAACAAATTCAGAACAAATTGCTTGTTGGGTAGTTATTAAATTCATATATTTATAAATCAACAGTGACAGAAAATATAACGATGTTTGCTGTTAAATAATATTTTTTGTAAGATGTTTTTATACTTATGGACTAAACTGGCCTAAAGTTTGTAATAAAAGAAAAGAAACGTAATGGGTGGTGGACCCACGGTGTAAGCGGGGCCTAACGTTTACTTGGTTGGCAATGTAAGCCATCCTTCACACGTTAGACGACTGATCTATGTACAAACAATATGTACAAAAAATGAAATTTTGCTGTTACTATATATAAAGAAAAGTATATCGATGACGCATTTTTATTATTTATAAAATTCATTCTTACACGTCCACTTAAAAAATATATATGTGCATGAAAATTAATAATCTTACGTTGGCAGTTTGATAAGAGGGACTGATTTTATTGTTTCCCTGAAGGCGGGGTTACTCTCCGCAGCAGTGTGTTATATGTATGTAATAGATAACCTGTTCCGCCGAGCCAATAATGTTGATAAATATTCGAATTTGACATGTGCTACGTGATAACAGATAAGTCGCTGTAAACAGAATCATGTGAAAAATATTTGAATTGTTCGACGACATCCACGCAATGCAGTTCAAGGCTGGTTTTGTAATGTGATCCTATAAACTATAGAAAGTAAATTGAAGAGATTTTAAAAAGATGACAACTGAGCGAAGCGGACACGATCATTCTCTTGCGATCCGACAAGAAATACAACGTTTCGAAAGTGTTCATCCGTCGATATACGCTATTTATGATTTAGCAGATCTAATTTCCGACACGCACATAGCGAAACAAATCCGTGAACATGTTGTTGCGATCGAAGGTACACAATACGTAATAAAATTTTTTTTAAAATATCTATATATATTTTTTTTATTTTCGTATTTATTTTTCCTCTCTGAAATCATTCTATATTATAGATTCGTTCATTAATAGTCATGAATGGACATTGGCCAGAGATGTGCCAGAATTACATTTAGGAATCATTGGTTCATCTGACTCGGGCAAATCAGCTTTAGTTCATAGATATCTGACCGGTTCGTTTATGCACGAAGAATCTCCGGAAGGTGGTCGTTTTAAAAAAGAAGTTTTTATTAATGATCAAAGTTATCTTTTACTAATTAGAGATGAGGGTGGAGTACCGGAATCACAAGTACATAAAAAATACATACTATATTAAATAATCTTTCTACTTATGTACTCATGTATTGTACATATTAGGTAATGTTTTTTGCTCGATACTTATCCCAGACATTATTCGTTTCAGTTTTCTGCTTGGATAGATGCTTTGTTACTTGTATTTAGTTTAGAGAGCGAGGAAAGTTTCTCGATAGTTTGCAGTTTCTATAATAGAATGTGTTCATTTCGAAATATGTCAGAAATACCAAAAATTCTTGTGGGAGTACAAGGTAAATTTCCCTTTAATATATTATGGTATTTGTCTCACAATCAGTTGATACGGATTGTCTTAATACATACATAATACTTATATAATATATACTTTATACTATCTAGATTCGATTAATGATTCTAATCCTCGGGTCATAAAAGATGTTAGACCACGAAAATTGGCATGTGATCTAAGATGTCCTTATTATGAAACATGCACTATTTATGGTTTGAATGTTGAAAGGGTGTTTCAAGATGGTAAGTATGTCTATATTAATCCCAGTACTTATTATTCTTATGAATTTCTAATACCTAGCTTAATTATTTGTATATGCAAAATTTTTTGGGAGCTTTTAATGATTATTCTGAAAATATTGTGAATATTACAGTATGTCAAAAAATAATACAACATATATCTATCAAACATTATCGATGTAACGGACAACAAGCAACAGATAATGAAACAAAATGTCCTGGTCCAACAATTGCTAAAAATGTACAGCTCGTTCCCAAAGACATGGAAGCAGGAAATTCATCAAAATTGAATGTAAGATACTATATATAAAGATAAAAACTCCATTAATATATTGATATTTAATGGGCAAAACATTTATATGTAATCAACTGCTTTGTCCACAGACATCTGACAAAGAGGAAGATTCTAGATCTTTACACAGCAGTTCTACACAAAATGATTCTGGATCAGTTGGTGATAATTTTCATAATATGCAGAATCAGCATACAGATCTTAGATCTTCGATTTTAACTCCAACTACTATTAGGTATAATCGTTAATAAGAGCTATAATTTTATCAAATGTAGTATTATCATCAAATGTAGACTCATTGAGTATATACACTATAGGAAATTTAGAAGAAAATCTAACATCTTCACACCATCGAAAAAAGAAAAATACAACATGGGTGAAATGGGTGTGGGCAGAGAAATACCAGTGAAGCAAGGATATTTATTTAAACGAAGTAGTAAATCATTAAAAGAATGGAAGAAGAAATATGTTACATTGTTGGAAGATGGTCGTTTAACTTATCATTCTAGCTTACACGTAATTACTATAGAATTAGTGTTATTTCGAATGCTGTTATAGTGAAACTTCTCTTGTAACGTTATGTAATATTTATTGTTTAGGATTATATGAACGATGCAAACGGTAAAGAAATATTGCTACAATATGTAACTGTAAAAGTGCCTGGGAAAACGCCTAAGGGTTCCAAATCATCCAATGCCCAAGGTAAATAACAAATGATATCAATCTTAAGCAAATATAAAATAATTTATGTTTCAATTTACAGAAGACAGTTTTGAATTTTCTATAATTTCGTTAGAAAATAAGACTTGGCATTTTGAAGCAAATAATGCTGAAGATAGAGATAGTTGGATATCTGCTATAGAGCAACAGATACTTTCAAGTTTGCAAAATAGTGATGGCGATAAGAAAAATGAAACTGATGCTTTCAAAATGCATTGCATAAAAAATAAAGTGTCAGGAAATGATGCTTGTGTGGACTGTGGAGTACCTAGTAAATAACATATCTACTACAAATAATTTAGCACTTGTATACTATTAATTTATATACTGTTAATCATATTTTAGATCCTGATTGGGCTAGTTTAAACTTAGGTGTACTAATGTGTATTGATTGCTCAGGAATACATAGAAATTTAGGTTCACACATTTCGAAAGTTAGGTCATTGGATTTAGATGATTGGTCGTAAGTGCGATAATTATTTCATCTAAAACAAGCATTTCCTAAATTAAATGATAGTATTATTATTGTTAAAAGTAATTTGATTATGAGGATACAATTATACGATTTTTTCTGAACGTATTTTTTTATGTGCATGCATTGTTCTCTATATTATAAAATAGCTCTGTCATTACTTTTAGCGCAGGTCAGTTAAGTGTAATGTTAGCTCTTGGTAACGATATAGCAAATAGTGTTTGGGAATATTGCTTAAATGGAAAGCAAAAACCAACTTCAGATTCTCCTAGAGAAGAGAAGGAGCAGTGGATCAGATGGAAGTACGAGGACAAAATGTTTTTGCAACCAATTAATCCGAATATATCGTTAGGAAAATTGCTTATTGATTCAGTTTGTCGGTAAATATTTTTTTATTGCAGGTGTGTCATATCTATCGCAGTAGACATTTAATAAGTATTTACTAAGTTTAATTGTCTCTGTTATTTAGTAGTATATATTTTTGTTTTTACTTTATTTTCTCTATATAAAATAACTGTTCAAACATTCTATGTAATAAACTTTAAAGTAAATGAAATTTTGTTGAAAAAGTTAGAGTTGTTCTTGATGAATCTTCCAACTACATGAAGGAACGTTATATTCCAATTAATATATTGAAAAATTTTAATGAAATGTGAAAATATTTTAATAAATAAATTAAAAATATACTAATCCAGTATTCGTAACAACTACTTATCTGGTAGTTACTTATTGAATGTCTACTATATGTTCGGATGTATGGTCCTAGATAATTAATCTTTTGTGTTAAAAATAATGTAGAGGCGATATGAGAGCATTTACATTGTGCTTGGCCAGATGTAGTTACGAGGATATCAATATGTCTGTAAGTATGGAAGATTTGAGGACACCCCTTCATCTGGCTTGTGCCACAGGGAACTTGGCTATGGCACAGTTATTGATATGGGTGTGTGTTTCTATTTTACTTATTGTGTGTAAATGTTGTACCGTGTTAGTACATTTATTAAACTATTGCAGCATAAAGCGAATCCGCATAATTTAGATCACGAAGGACGCACGTGTATGTCGTATGTACGAGCACTCGAAAGAACCCTTGACAATTCGTCAGATTCTATGGAAATGCAAAAGCTTCTCGAAGTACTTGAACAAGCTACCGTCTCTGGAGTAGATGATGTAGAAACATCGCAGTATTAAAATTGTTCGTATTACGTACTTATTGCATGTGAAGCCATGCTTTAATTAATAGCTTATAAATGATATAACTTTTTTCCATTAACAGTACTGATACTCAGAATTGCAACCAAAGTATGTTAAAAAGAATTTTAAATACGGAATGGCCTATTTCTATAAAGTAGCATTCTGTACTGTGTGAAAGAAACTTCACATTGTATGTATTAGTGTATGTCCCTTTTAATGTTGGCCATAAATTTCGTACGAAATTTGACCACATATTTTACCGAATATAACATACTTTGCATATATATTTGTACATTAAAAAGTATTTTTAATTGA